GAAGATGCAGCGAGACTGGACTACGGGCTTTCCGCAGCCGTCGATGCCAAGGACCACTTCGAGATACCCCAGACCCTCCAAAAACACGCGCAGGCAGCCTTCCTTTTTCGGCGAATCCCTTGGCCGACATTCGTCCTCGCACGCGCCTATCGGCCATGAGTTGCGCCTCCCCCTCGTGGACGACTCCCTCCTGGATGCTCCCGAGGGGGGGGGGAAAGAGGGAGTTCTGGAGGAGGTGGAGGGTGCAGGGGAAGACATGGATGGGAGAGGGCCCTGACATTTCCCCCGTCGCGAAATCAAGACAGAAGGCTTGTGGCGATTTGTGGCTTGGGGGGCTCTGATGAAAAACGTGTCTCCGGGATGAGGTTCTGATTGCAGTATTTGTCTGGCGTGTTTCGATGTGAAATAAACGGCCTGACGTCGGATGTGCGAGGTCTTCCTTCCTCTTCCTCCCTTCTCCTCATCGTTAGCACTATCTCCTCTTTCCCTCCTCCGTCCGTTTCCTCATCCCTCTTCGTCCCTTCCTCCAGGCAGGGTGCGTGTCCTCCTGCTCCTCCTCCAGGGGGCACGGAGGAGACGGGGGATGAGCGGGAGAGCTCACAGGAGGGCTCGGACGGTTCGGAAGGTCGGTGCGGCATCGGAGCCGGGGAGCCTCAGAACGGAGGCGCGCCCCCTTGGGCGCAGGAGGGGGACCAATGACGAGGGCACCTGAGACGCTTCAGAGGATACGGTAGGTTCGCGTCGTGTCGACTGGCGGCGACCTTGCCGCCAGCGTCCAACGTTGAACGGCGCCGGCGACCCAGAATTGGTCGATGTTGAGCGACCTGACGGTTCGGAAACGGCCGATCGTTCAAGGGTGAATGCTCCCCGCGGTGTCAGAAGCCAACGCCGAAGTCGGCACGACACGAACCTGCCGTAAACTGGAGAGGGGGAAGCAATGGTCCGGTAAATTGTGGCTACGACAGAAGGTTCGGGCCACCCAAACTGGGTGGGGACAACGCCGTGTGGTGAGTCGGTGTGGATTCGGAGTCACCGCGCGGTTCTGGGACTCGGGTCGTCCTCCGAGGACGTCTTCGGGCGACTGGGGCATCCGAGGTCCAAACACCGTGCGTTGACGGACCGTTGGGGGTCCTCAAGGTCACCGCACGGTTTGTCACCGCACCGTTCCGGGATTCCAAAGAAGGGCGCTGGACAGCTCTCGGGCTCCGAGGGCCCCTCGCCGGCCCCGCGGCGGTCACGAAGCGAGCGGGGGCGAAGGAAGAGGTCCCCGGAAGGAGTCCAGACCTCCAGGATCGGGGCTCAAGAGACGGGGGTTAACCCAAACGGGGGTCAGCCAGAGCGCCGGATCTTGCAGGATCCTGCAGGGCCAGGGTCGCACTGACCCAGGCTTGGGTGCAGGATCCTGCAGGATCCTTCGCATTGACCCGGGTTTGGGTGCAGGATCCTGCAGCTGCCTGTAGGATCCTGCAAGGCCCGGCTGACGCGGGTCTGGATTGACCCGAGTCAGCAGATCCCCGACAGGAGTCCATGACCCGTGTCGACTCCTCCGATTCGATGTCGATGTTGATGGCTTCCGATGCCGATTCGATTCGATTTGGGATTTCGGTATCGGCTCCGAGTTCTCAATTGAGGCCTACCAGCCTGCCGATTTCTGCCGATTCGACGTTTCCTTATTTGGCTGCCGAGGACTGCCAATCCGATTCATCTCGATCGCCGATCCGACTTATCGATTCGATCCTGGTCCCTCCTGGAAGTCCACGGGGATCCGCGGTTCGGTCAGTCGGTTAGTCCGGTTTGGTCCGTTGTTGCGCCGCTGTGGTTTCAGGCTGCGCTCGGATCGTCGGTTTCGGTGGGTTCGTGGTTTGGTTGTCGCTTCGGTCGGTTCGTGGTTCTGTAGTCGCCGTGGGCGTCTATGGGAAAGTGGGCGGCAAACAGAACATGTCAAAAGCAGGAACACTAGGAAGTGGTACTGGCAACGGGGTGCAGGAGGATGAGGAGGCACGTGTGTGCGTTGACGGTTCGGTGCAGTGCGCACAGAGTTGGTCATTTGACCTGGGTGGTTGCACGAGGACTTCTTCTCCTGAGGGCGTACCTGCTGTCTCTTCATTGTTACAGTTGCATTCTTTCATGTTATATATATATATATATATATATATCGCCTCCTTGTCTTCCTCCGAATGAGAAGGAAGAGGCGGAGGGGAATTACGTGGGCATCCGTGTGTGAGTTATTTGTTGGAAGCGGCAAACCGAACTGCGACGGCGAGCCGACCTAGACCAACAGGGGCAAGATACTCGGTCAGCTAATTACGATAGGGGTCGGGGTCCAGGAGGCGAATTCAGATCAGATATCGGAGAAATGTTCGGATACCTTTTGAAAAACATATCCAACGCGTGTAGAAAAGCATTGGCACTTACCACGGATCCATCAGGGGAGCCCGAAACAGGGGGCATCCGCTCGAATACTTGGAACAGCCACCTTTTTTTATTCACGCTTGGCGTATCCCAACCAGCCCATTCAGAAGCCCTGCCCACGAAAACTGACGGGAAAAGGGACGAAGGGACACATCTAGGGAAACAAAGCGAGCAACCAGGATGAACCAAGAGATCTCTGGGAGCAAGGGGGTGGCCTTGGAAGGCTTCTTCGGCCCATCCCTGGGGGCCGCGTGGGAGAGAGGGGAAGATGACGAGGAAGAGGAGGAGGAGGAGGAGGAGTGCTTCCGCTGTATGTCTTCCTCATTATCCCTCAGACCACTTGTCGCCCAAGGGGCTGGTGGGATTTCTCAGCCATCAGCTGGTGCTGCTGCTGGTGGTGCTGCTGATGTTGTTGCTGCCTCTGCTGGTGCTGCGGCTGGTACCCTGGCAGGCCTGTCGGGGCCATCTAGGAGAGCATCGATCAAAAGATCGGGGGTCCTCAATTTCGGCCCCTTCCCAGGAGCCCTCAACACCGCCTCTTGTAGCTCTCCTGGGGCTCTTTGGGAGGGTATTGGAGCTCTCTTGGGGCGCTTTCAGGGGTCTTGGAGTCCTCTTGGGGCCCTCTTGGGGCTCTCTTGGGGCCCTCTTGGGAGCCCTGGAAGGCCCCTTGGGGCAATTTTGAAGGCCGTCGATCAAAGGAGGAGATGGTCAGAGTGAGGGGGCCGAAGGGTCATTCATCATCCCTGGGTGCGTGGCTGAAGTGCGGATCCGTGTTGAGGATTCTGTTTGTTGTTGTTGTCGTCGTCCTCCCCGCGACCGGGCCCGCGACCCACCCGCGACCCACCTCGCGACCCACCCGCGACCCACATTGCGACCCAACCGCGACCCACCCGCGACCCACCCCACGACCCGCTCGCGACCCACCCGCGACCCACCCGCGACCCACCCGTGACCCGGCCCGCGACCCACCCGCGACCCACCGTCGACCCACTTGCGACCCACCTTCGACCAAACCCGCGACCCACCTACATTGTTTGAACAAATTTCGGCGCGGCGGAATCTCTGTATAGCTTGAAAAATGCTGCGCCTTGCGGCGGGCTCCTAAAAGCCTCGCAGATTGCCGACGTCCCCGCCGCCCCCTCACTCTTATCCGCAACTGCGGGGTGCTATATAACGTTCAGTCCCCCCCAAAGAGGCCAAAATGGAGCCAAGACCTTAGTAACACCAATGATGTTGGCTTCCTCGCCGAGGCCGTTTTGGACGCCCTGACACATCGCGAACCCCCCCAAAAAAGTCCATGGGAGGGGGTAGGGGGAGGGGGAACCCCCTCCCCGTAGGGGAAGAGGTTTTTTTTGGAACAGGGAAGAGGAATCTCGTTAGACCACCTGCGCCCAGAGGGCTGGTAGGATCACTTTCTCATCGGGGTTATGTAGAGGCTGCGCGGAATAAATCTACAATACGCTCATCGGAGGCGGCTGTTCTTGGAGACCACGCGTGAAGACACCCTGACAAAGACGTGAGGTTGCCATGATTCCTGGGCCCCCATTGCAGACCTCCGAGCCGCTCCAGAGACAAATTCCTCTTTCTGCCCGACCTGTATCATCATCCTGCCTGCTCATCTTCTCCTGATCCTATCCATCTTCATCCACCCCCTGCGGTTCAGAAAGCTTCGCCCCTAAGAGTTCAGGTTGTTTATTATGCATCTTTTCCTATGCAACCCGTACATGTATTCCTGAGGATTGTTTGCGTGTTTTGTTCCTCCGCCCCCCTCACCTCTCTCCGTCACTGGCACGCGCGCAACTCGACCCTGCCAGAGCTTACACCTGACTCCACTGAGATGTCTTGTAACCGCACTGCATCAGGAACAAGCAAGTCCTCTCCATCCTTGTCCTCTTTCACTTTATTGCCTTGCCTCCCCTATATCTCCTCCCGTACCCACTCCCCTCCCTCACCTCCCTCCCCTCCCTCACCACACCTCATCATCACTTCGTCCTCACACACCTCACTCCCATCCCTCCCTCACTTCCCCTCCCGTCTTCCATCCCACGTCTCCCACCCCAGGCTTTGCCTCTTCGCTGGGGTTCTTCACCGTTGCTGTTCAAGCAATATCAGAACATACCCTGTCTCCGTCCCGCCTCTCCCTGTCGCCCCTCTCTCCGCCACCTCGCTGCCTTCCCTCCCGACCCCGCCCGTTCCTGCCCCCCTCCCCTCTCTTCCCTCTCCTCCCCTACCATCCCTCCCTCTCTGGAGCAGGGCGTGCGGCGGAGAGGGAGGGAGGGAGGGAGGGAGAGGACAGGCGGCGGAGAGGGAGGGAGGGAGAGAGCAGGGCGGGAGGAAGGGAGGGAGCAGGCGGCGGAGAGGGAGGGAGGGAGGGAGAGGAGAGCGATGGGGGAGGCAGAGGGAGGCAGAGAGAGGAGAGGAGACCGAGAGGGAGGGAGGAGGGAGGGAGGGAGGGGAGGGAGACGAAGGGGAGGAGATGCGTACGGGGTGACAGACGAGGAGATCCGAGAGGGGAAACTTCCTCGGGGAGAGGAGCTCTGCGCCGGCGAGCCTGCCGACCTCCCCTCGCCTCTTTCGGGCGCCGGGAGGCCGGGAAGCTGGCGCTCTTCTTCACGCGCGGCGCGCCCCCCGCGCGGTCCTCCTCCTCCTCCTCCTCCTCCTCCTCCTCATCATCATCATCCTCCAGCCGTGTCGGCCCAGGCGCACTGGGCTTGCCCGAGTGTACTTCGACGCGGCTCGCTCGGGCGGGCCACGGATGGCGGCAAGGCACCCTTCTTGGCCTTGTGGGAACTGCGCGAGGGTGTATGGCACAGCGTTCGCCAACTATGCCCACCGCACCCACTGCCTGCGCTGCGGCAAGCAGGCGCCAAAAGGAGTGCTGGAGAAGCAGAGAAAGCAGAATCAGGGAGCAGCGGGTGGAGGCAAGAGCCAGCCCCCTTGGCAGAAGGCGAAGAACAGGTGGGCGGACGGACCGCCAGCCTCTCTCTGGGCAGGCTCCATCAGCCAGACCCAGGCCTCGCCAGCCCCTGCTGCTCAACCTATGGTCGATCAGGCAACGGCGAAAGCGATCCTTGAGACCATGGTCAAGGCACACGGAGATGATCGGAAGCTCTGGCCAGAGCAGGCGAAGAGCATGGTGGTGCAGTGGGACAAGGCGATGTCTGTCAAGGCGTCCGACCAGCCCGTCGACATCACAAAGCTCACTTCGTTCCAGCTGGGCCAGAGGCTGGAAGACACTAACAAAAAGCTTCAGAAGTCTGAGGAGCGGCTCAAGGAGCGCGAGGAGGAGTACCAGCGCGCCCTGGCAAGTCGTGACGCAGAGAAGCAGATTCTGGAGAATCACAAGCACAAAAAGCAGCAGCTCGAGAAGGCGAAGTCCGACGCCTTCCTCAAGGAGCAGGCCAGTGGTGCAGCCAATCCAGCCCTGCAGCTTTGTGGACGATTCGCAGAGCTTCAGCTGGCAGGCAGCGACAGCGAAGTTCCTGAGCCTTTGCGAGGGCCCATGCAGGCTCTTCAGCAGGCGCTGGAGCAGTACCAAAAGCAGGAGGCCGAGAAGAGGAGGGCCCAGCAGGAGAGCGCTCAGGCTGAGCAGCCTACCGCTCCTCCTGGTGACGGCGGCGGCAGTGGTGCAGGTGATGTCGGCATGGGTGCTGGACCCGAGCTTGACATCCCAGTGCCCGAGGACGAGGACCTGGAGGACCTGTACAACGAGCAGGGCCTCAAGCTGGACGGGGTTGACGACGTCGCCGAGATCCAGCGCATCAACGAAGCCCGCAAGAGGATTCGCCAGCAGCTGGCCTCAGCTGCTGAGAAGGCCAAGCGGCGCAGGGTCGGGGCCCCAGCTGCTGCAGCAGACACCCACTGAGGGCTTTGCGAAAGCTGGCAGCTGGGGCCACTTCCAGCAGATAGTGAGCCAGACGCAGCTCACGCTCCAGCAGATGGCGCCGCTGTTGTCGGCTCCACCTTCGCAGAGGTACCAGGCGCTTCAGCTGTTGGACTGCCTCAATTCGCTCGGCTCGACAGTGGCGTTTTCACTCAGAGCGGCAGTTGGGAGTTCGACGGCCATCCCTTCTTTGGTACCACAGTCAGCCATGCAGATACGTGCAGTTTCTGGCAGTGGTGTGGTTGACGGTGCTGTGTCAGAGCAGAATGCAGAGTTGTTTGGAGCTCTTATCTGTTCGCTCAACATCTACGACGGCATCGTTTGGGTGTCAGGGGAGCCGTGTGCGATGGGCAAGCCACCGCCCGTGGATCCTGACACGCCACAGTACATCTTTCGCGAAGGACTGATGTCAGCAGCATGCAGATGGGTTCCCTCACTTGCTTCAGATTCCTCAGGATATGAGGAGTGGATGGACATGTGCGGGCAGTACGCAGTTGTGAAGCTCAGGCAGCAATCACCTGCAGATTTTCGGGATGAGGCTCACCTCAGCCAAGTTGCTCGCAATTATTGTTACATGGCATGGGTGCAGTCTAGCAATAACAGAGCCAACTTCCTTGAGTACCTGGACTGGCTGGAGTCGCAGGACATGTTCAACGAATGGGACAGGGTCATAGCTCTACACTGGCAGCAGCTGGGAGATATTCAACGTCTATTTCGCCGAGAGATACGTGAGAGTCGGGCCCCGCCTATTGATGCGGCTCGGTATCGGCCAACAGTTGAACTCCCAAGCGAAGATGGCCAACACGATGCTGGGGTCAAAACTGAGGACGATGCTGGGGTCAAAACTGAGGACCAACAAGATGAAGATGATGAGGCTGACCCTGAGGATCCAGCTGGACCACCTGCACCACGAGCTGCACAGCTGCATGCAGATACTCTGGTGCTATCTCAGAGTGGTGGTTCTAATATAGAATCCAAGCCAGAGAAGCTCCCGAACCCCCGAGGTGCTGTCTTGGGGAGTCTTGAGCAGGTTGGGTCGCTTCGCCAGACTCAGCCTCAAGAGGCTGACGGGGGCCCTGGGGGGATTGGCGTCGGGGAGTGTGCCCCTCGTGCCGCCGACGACCATGAACCCTCGGGCCCCGCGTCTTGGGGCACAGGCCCGTTTGGGAACACCTCGTCGCCTCCCAAGGGAGGTATGCCAGTGCGGACTGCAGCTCAGCAAAACTTGGCGTCGGCGCAGAATCAAAGCGACGCCTTGAGTGCTGAGCGGACCTGCCGCAACTGTGGTGTCGGCCTCCCCAGTCAGGCCCGACCAGAGGAGGTGGTGACTACAAAGGTGCGCACGTGGAGGATTGTCACTGCCAACATTACCTCAGCGCAGAAGGAGGCGGCGAAGTTGTCCAAGATCGCAGCGGAGGTGGTAGAGATCGAGGTCGATGCTGATGCCCTGCTCATCCAGGAGCACAAGCTGCTCAAACCAGCGGTGGGGGACACTGTGGTGAGGCTGAAGCATCAGGGCTGGCACTTCCACATCTCCCCAGCCAAGCCGGGCACCACAGCCACATCAGCATCGTCAGGAGTGGCAGTCGGAGTTCGACAAGATATCGGCTCAGCAGCTCCACCTGACATGGGTGGCGTTACACCCCCGACCTCAAGATGGACAACACAGTGGATCGATGGCATGCTCCCTGGTGGCTTCATTCTGGCCTCGATCTACCTCATCTCAGGTAATCAGCACAAAGACGTGGAGGACAACAATAGGCAGATCATCCTGCAATGTTTTGAGCAGCTCAAGAGACTGGGACGCCCTTTCATCATTGGAGGTGATTGGAACATGAGTCCGCTCGACCTGGAGGAGCTCAATGTTTTGAATGACATGCCAGCTACCATAGCAGCTCCGTTTGAGTGGACGTGCTCAGCAGGACGTGGACGAACTATAGATTTCTTTGTGGTCTCCAAGCATTTCAAGAGCTTGATCACGGGAGTGCGACGACTGGAGGGCCTCAGCCTAGCAACGCATTGGGGAGTTTTGCTTGAGCTAGAAGCAGGACCTGGCGCGGCCATGGAGCAGCAGATCGTGATGCCGCGGAAGTTTCCCAACGATTGTCCGCTTGGCGCTCCACGTCCACCTCCATCGTACGACCAAGTACATGATGAGTGCCATCATGCACGTGAAGCTCAGGACCTCGACTGGTGCTTTCAGACGTGGGCTCAGATGGCTGAGGCGGAGTTGGCAGATCGGTATCACCTTCCTGACAACAAGCGACGTGCTGCAGCTGGACGGGGTGAGCTACATGTGCCTCAGTTCAAGCTGGTGGCAGCGGCTCGCAAAGCACCAGGTAGAGGCGCTGAAGGAGACCCCATCTCACGGAATTGGAGAAGGGCGGCCATGGCATTCCAGGACCTTCTTCATGCGCTCAAGAGGGAGTGGGAGCTGGACTCGCAATTCATTCAGCAGCGGCTTCAGACCCTTCGCAAGTTGAGGCGCAAGAACTTGGACATGGGCAGTTCCTGGTTTGTCCTTTGGTACCGACTCGACTATGAATGGAGTTGGGAGGATGAATGGATACGGGATTGCAGTTGGTTTGCAGCGCAGGAAGCCACCAAGCTCGAGCAGCTGTACTCAAAGCAGCGGGTCAAGGAGTGGCGGCAGGCGGTAGCTAAGTCCATCGAGCAGGAGCAGTCGAAGGCACACAGATGGAGTAAGCTACCAACTTTGTGGACGCAAGCAGAAGTTCATCCTGCCACGGGCATCAAGTCACATGCTACTACACTCGACGCGGACCTGCAGCAGTGGCTTAAGATATGGAATCATGATCCTGCAGCAAGCTCTTTTGGAGCCGGCCTACATTTATCCCAACTTCAGATGGATGATCAAATGGAACCTCTGGAAGTTGAGCAGATTCGCAAGGCAGCGCTTTCGTTCAAAGTGAAGACGGCCTCGGGCATCGACAACCTTGGGCCCAGGAATATGGCGCTGTTATCCGACGACTGCTTGCAAGCTTTCAGTTCTGTTATGGAGGTAGCGGAACGTATTGCGGAGGTTCCCAAGCAGATGAAGAATACAGTACTCCCGCGTTTACCCAAGCCTGAAGGTGGTCACAGGTTGATCGGCCTTATGACCGACACGCTCCGAGTCTACAACAGATGCAGAAGACCTGTCCAACGGCGGTGGCTTCAAGAGTATGCTCGGCCTTACCACTACGCCACGGCAGGGCGCAGTTCGGAGCGCGCGGTGTGGACTCAGTCAGTCATGGCAGAAGCGGGACGAGCATTGATGAGACACACGGTCACTGTGATGCTTGATTTGAAGAAAGCCTTCGAGAAGATATCGCATGCCTTATTGTGGGAGATTGGCTGCAGGCACAAGTTTCCCAAAAGGCGCTTGGCGATGCTCATCAAGACGTATGCTGGTCAAAGATGCCTCAAGTTTGAGAAGATCGCTTCAAGATTCATTTCCACGAACCAAGGCGTCATCGCAGGGTGCTCGGATGCCACCACCATGATGGTCCTTTTCACTTGGGGCGCGTACGACCAGGTCTACACCTTGTGGCCGTCGCTCACCATCAGCGTTGTTGTGGACGATGGCAGTCTACAGGCTACGGGCACTGAGGCCGATGCTGCACGTATCATCATTGCTGCGGCCAAGATGTTGCGCAGGCTCCTGGTCAGGATAGGTTTGGAGCTGAGCCCGAACAAAGGACATGTTATTGCGACGACTCCAAAGTTGGCCAGG